TTCAACCACGAGAGAGATTCCCTATTGTCTATATATCGTACCGCATATGAGTCCCGGCCTACGTGATGGCGCCCAAATCGACTCCGACTACTGAGAACATCCGTCACGTAGAAGCGGCGTCAGACGATTCCGTGGCTGCTTCCCTACCTCCCTTTGAGGTACCTTTTCTGGCGATGACTTCTCATGAGTTCAAGCGTGCAGTCATAGCGGCGCTTGGGGCCTCTCGGACCGATTTCCCATTGAGCGATGTCTTGACCGCGGCGGATGAAGCCAGGAAGCTCCAATGGCGAGGAAACATCAGCTGGCCGGGTGGCCCTCAAACAGATAACTTTAATGTGACCCTCAGCTACAAGGCATTTGGCGAACACGTGGCGCAGGCAGTACTTCCGAAGAGGTGTCGATTGCAGTTGGTCATGGAGAACCCTTTACGCCGCATAGCGGACCCGTACGCCGTTAGTCCTGTCTGTTATGTCTGATTGACTTGTGACTTGTGCTACTTAGATACTGACTCCTTGATCATTCCCAGTGGATGTCAACCTCACCGCGTTTTCAGTTGGCGTCCGAGGTCTATGTGCCGTTCAGGCCTAACGGTCACGATTTGCCCCCGCCCAATCACTGTTTCGTTCTGCAGCCGCCAGCGCCGTTCACCGAGGGAGGCATCGAGCCGCCGACTTCAACTAGGGATGGCACTCCTCCAACCGCCGGGGGGTTGGATGCCCAGCGCTCGGCCGAATCGAGTCCGTGCTGCTTGCTACGCGGGTATTCCTCGTCTGCGACAGGTGATGAGGTCCATGAGCCCGAATTCGCGAGGGCTTCAACTCATGAGAGTTCTCGGCAACAATCTGCTCACCCCAATCTCGGACGGTCGAGCGAGTCGCCTCCGCCGTTGGCCGATGACAATGCCGCAAAAAGCCCTCCCCCCCTTTCGTCGTCACCGGGTTTGATTATGTTGGACGGACCCCCTTCTTCCTGGGTATCAAACACAAACATCCGACCCCGTCTTCGCCGCCGCGTGTCTTCGTCGCCGGATGTGGAGGTTGTCAAGAGCTCCAAACGCACTAAGACGATCACCCCCAACGAGAATGGGATTCCCCCAGAGGTGGGCACTAGCGAGTCCTCCGTTCTTCGGAATTCCAACAAATGATTATATTGTGATTGGTTGTGTCTTGTTTTGCCCTGCGTGGATTCTCGGAAGATTGTGAAATTCCTCTACATATGTTGTCTGTGGTCGTCTTCTGTGGCTTCATAAGAAATCATTGTGTGTGTTGTATGTGATCAGCCAGGTGTCCCTGCTCCTCACACCAATATCAGTCATTTATTCATTGTTTGTTGGTTTGTGCTTCCACATGCGCTGCATGACTGCCCAACTATTGCAGGGTCGGCCTTTTACTTACATTGTGACTCAGGAGGAAAGGAATTATCATGGGTCTTACACTAAGGGAGGCTTGGCTTACATGCTCATGGGTTATTTTATCATATTCTCATCAAAACTGTGTATAATTAATGCAAATGAGGATAAGATAAAATGTGCCTATTACAATTTGGTAATGACATGTGTATGGAATCTCATCATTATGTGGAGGCTGTATAATATCTGGTATCTGTTAGTAACATGGGCATGGTGCAAAAATCATGTTGTCTATGATGGTGGGAGCTGCATGGTGTTTTTGATCTTTGTCTTATAGGTTAAGGGTGAGAGGAATAATGGTGCCCACTAGGATCTTCCGGGTGCATTCCTGCTATGGTGACATTGTCACCGGGATAATTATACTGGTATAGTGTGTGGTTGGGTGGCGGGAGGCTTGACCCTTGCGGATCATTAGTACCAGATGTTTGTGGGTGGGTCATTGGACCTGGGGTTGATGGGAGCCTTCTTGGGTAATGATAACTACTGGGGCCCTGTGGATGATATGCATTACTATCTGGAAGTGCATAATTCATTTGTGGGTGGGCATATTGATTTGGGATGGAGGCCCAACTGTTTGGTCTGCTTTGTTGGGGCCAGTGCTGCATGAGAGGGTTATTGTGTGGTAATGGCTGGGTTGGATAATATGGTGAAGGATAAGGAGGAATAAACCTGGGGTTGGATTGGGATCTGTGTAATGTTGGGGTTCCGGCCCAGGTGTGGTGTGGTGATACACCACTGGGAACTGGCACATCATATCTTGGGTTATGTAGTTCTGGGGCCATGTGGTGCAGGAGTGAATGTTGTGGTGTGGAGTTATGTTCATATATTCTGCTTTCTTGTGGAGGGTTTGCAGGGTAGAGGTTTCCTGGGTTTTGCTGGGGATTTCTATGGCCTCTGGCATGGGACGTTGCTCTGGATTGGGAGTTTGGATTCAGGTTGATTGTGGTGTGGTTTTGGGAAGGGCTTTGACGGGGTGGAGGGGAATTCTGATTGTGTTCCATACGTGATCCTACACTTTGGCTGCCCCACGATCGTTGGCCTGAGCTCCCCTGGCTTCGGTGAGAAGGGGCACTTTCAACCCCTGTCATGGGTGAATGATGGTTCACAGGTTGGAGTTCAGATGGTATTGCAGTGTTTGCCTTCCCCTTCCCCTTGGGGGCTTGGTTTGGGTTTTTGTTCCACTTATCTATCCCTATTTGAATGCCAGCCTGCCACTGGGATGCTGTGATTTGATGATGTGGCATCTGGGATAAATGTTGATGATTGCCAGTTGCATGAAATGATGCAATGTTGATGATGTAGCTGTTGTTGTTATTGTGGATGGTTTCATAGCTGAGGCCTGGGTCTCCTTCCTGAACATCTGAGGGGGTCCTCTCTTTTTTCTTGAATGTACACTGCCCATCATGGCAGTTATGTTGCACATTAATAGTGGCTTCAATCTCCTACAAATGATGAATGACAAGGGATTAACTTAATATTGATGTTTTAATGGTTGTTTATGTTATCTATCTTTTTTTCACTGACATTTGCATATACATCCCGCATGACTAAAGTGCTTTCAATGAGTCGCATTTGGTAGAATTCCGAGATGCCTAATATTTTGAACCAGGTGACAGTCAGGACAAAGGCACTGCTGGTGTTTGATTGAATATGCCAAAGGAATTCTATCCTGCCAATCCTCCTGGTTGTTGATGATTTGACCTATTAAATATGATGGGTTGATGTGGAGTCAGTTTGGATGCCCTCACATACTTGTTTCAATCTATGATCTTCTATCTGGGATCTGACCTGTACAAATACTCCTTTCCTGAGGGTCCTGTGGGAATCCAGTGTGACAGATGTAACAGGATGGATGGTTTTGTTTGGGTATGCATCTTGCAGTTGCTGAGGTATTGGAATTGGGGCTGACTTCTTTGATGGATAACTGAATTGGAATGGGGCACTAGTCATTGCCTTTTGGGGGTTGTACCCCATGGACTTCAAGATCATTTTGTCTTTGGAGGCTTGGGTGACAGATTCAGATGGATAAAAAGCCCTTTGCTCTAGGTTATTGAACAGCCTTCCTCCTGACTGAATCGCCCGCATGCACTCATAGTTGGCAAAGGATATGGCTAGATCTCGTCCAGGACAATGCCGGTTAGAATGAACTGAAGCATTTCGCAGGATACCATTGAAACTTTCGAACTTTTCGGTTGCAAATAATGATGCTGGGCCAAATCTCCTGATCGATAGGGGTAAGTGCAAGAGCATATGGAATTTTGGCTTGTTGACCCACTGTGCAGACATGCGCGTTATCAGATACATAAAGTTATCAATTTTTTCTTCCAAATTCTTGAGGTATGATTCCATGTTAGGTATTGATGTTTGAAAAATCAGGGGGGCCAATTGGCACAATGCGGTCCACAGTGCCCTTTGTTCTTCATCCATGAACTGGAATAGTACAAACGGGGCTAGTTGGACCACAATCCGGAAGTGCTTGCCTACAAGGCTCTTGTAATGCTTGACAAAATACTTCCCAAGGATGTGTGGTATGTCCAAAGGAGGGACCATGAAGCCTTGTCACCGCTATGCAATCAACTGTGGTAGATGTTAGGCTGATGG